GGCTGCGCCAGAAGCCGCCTCGTGTAGAAAGATAGGTATAATTATTTCGATTTTGTCTCATAAAAATCGAAAATCAATTAATCGACCGACAAAAAATCGATAAAATATAATCGATTATTTGAATTAAAGAATCGACATCTCCGATTAATCGTAAAACATCGCCCATCCCTAGATTATAGTCAAAGATGCAGATACCGAAGCACATGCGCTATGGCTTCTGTTATGGCTCTTGTATTTATATATATATATATGCTTTGACCTTAAGACCGTGTTATCGGGATGATAAGATAGATCTCGTAACGTAAGTTTGACCCTCGAGTCAAATAACGCAGGTACGACAGCAGGCATTTATTTGAGATGTTTGCCCGCTTTTCTTTTAAAGTTTTGCATTATAAATACTCATATATTAAAGAATAAAATTCAATGAGTATATATTTATCAATACAAATATTTATATAATTACTTAAAGTGATAGATGGACAGATTTGTAGTTTGGCTGTATGCATTTTTTTGCACTGGGCAAATTTGCCAAATGATTATATTTGTAAAGAGTTACAGTAATATAAGAAATATATATTCGATGATAAGTAAAAGAAAATTTTTGAGAAAAGATAATTCAAGATTTAGAATTTTACGTACGAAAGTATGTAAGAAGCAAAGACTAGGATACCGAAGTAAAAGTATATAAGTATATTGTCTTTTACATGGATACAATTGTAGTAATGAGATGAAAATATAAACATACGATTATATCGTTGTCATGTCTATTATCAAGAAGACTGTTTTTTTAAAGCAACATCAATTTTTTACTTAGTTTCATTAAAAATTTCTGGTTAATTTTAATGAACACCATATTTCCTGAATTCTCTTTCCTAAAAATTGTTTTTATTAAAGCAATATTGACAGCAAAAAGTAATCTACCTATTTACATATTGCATAAGAAATATACACATATTTGAACTGTTTCCTGTTACAGACATTCCTTCAACATGGAACTCAAATGTGCAGTTCAAACATATAGTTGGGGGAAATATGGTATGAACAGTATTGTTGCGTCTTTGATAAAATCAGCCAATGCTGATTTTGTAGTGGATGATGAGAAGACTTATGCAGAATTATGGATGGGAACTCACGAGAATGGTCCATCGTATCTCAAGGACACAAATATTCCCCTGCAGAGATATATCCAGGAAAATATTGAAACAATAGGCAGTGACGTAGCAGAAATGTTTGGTTTCAATTTGTCTTTCCTCTTTAAAGTTCTATCTATAAATAAAGCTTTATCTATTCAAGTACATCCGGATAAGGTAATATCTTTTTTTTTGTTGAACACAAAAGTAAGAGTGTGTTATAATCCGTGGCATTTTAGAAAAAGGCTGAAGAGCTGCACGAGTTATATCCGGATGTCTACAAAGATCCAAATCACAAACCAGAACTAGCAATAGCTTTGTGTCCCTTTGAAGCGCTGTGTGGATTTCGTCCAATTGATGAAATAAAAGATTATTTGAATAACATACCGGAGTTATTCGCCGTCATAGGGGAAATCGATGTTTGTCTCTTATCTCAAGCAACTGATTCTACGATCAGCGAAGCCTTGCAGCAGTGTTTTCACAATCTTATGACTTGTGATTCCAAAGAAGTAATACAGCAATTGAGAGGCTTGACAGACAGATTACACAATGCAGGTAATAACAATTTTTTAATATACAGGGCGCTCAATAAAATATACAATAAAAGAAAATTTTTCAGGTGAAAAATATACAGGGCATTCGGAAATTGTTAGAGGCACCATAAGAATCATTTTTTTGCAAATGAACCCGGGGTCGTAAACGTGTCCCCAGTGGGAAATATAAAGTCGAGAAAACGTCATTTTGACGTCGAAAAGCCTGGTCAAAATTACATAAATTTAGTCACAAGAAAAACCTCTTTTCAACGTTGAAATAAGATCCAAGGTGACGTTAAATATTGTCTCTGGCAATATGCTTTAGAGCTTTAGATCAGGTCAAATTTACGTTGATTTTAGATATGGAGATTTGCATGTGTACGTTTATATTATCCACATATAGAATGGATTAGTGTAATAATAGAAGGAGTTGCACACGTATAAACCGACAGATATATAAGGACATGTTCAGAAAGAGACAAACACATACATATGTCTGTCTCTTCCTAAATTACTATAATATTTGTTATAATTATATGTATCCTCATATTCCTCATATTATCTGTCTCTTATCCCAGTGAGAAATGATTCGTCGAAACGACATCGATTCGACTTTAGTGTTCTCACTGGGTCATTACATCACTACGCCATACAGAGTGTTCGAAAGAGTCGGGATCTCAAAATATCACCAAAAAATTTAGTTCCATAAAAATTTGTTTCAGAAAAAAGTTGTAGGATCTAAAAAGATATATTTTTACGCCTGGATACTCTTTTGATCTTGCTTTTATCAGCTGGATACTTCTTTGATTTTACCTTCATCGACTGGATACTCTTTTGATTTTGCCTTCATTGGCTGAATACTCTTTTGATCTTGCCTTCATCGGCTGGATACAACTTTAATCTTGTCTTCAACGGCTGGATACTCATTTGATCTTGCCTTCATCAGCTGGATCAGCCAACGATCTTGCCTTGGTTGGCTGGATTATCTTTCAATCTGGGAATCGAATTTGTGCTTGGATTTCTTACCTTCGTGGGCGAGACATTTTACCACGAAAAACTTATAACTTCGAAACGGCTTACTTAAAGTTGGTAAAATTTATTGCTTTGAAAAGGTCTCGAGAACGGCTACAAAAGTATACAATAAAAAGTGGAAAATTTCCTTTAAAAAATTCAGGGTAGCCTTGTCTTGACCTTGGCGACGCCATCCAAGATCAAACACATGGCGCCAGTAAATAGAACTTTTTACACTCTACAACTTTTGTCTGAAACAATTTCTTATGAAACTTGAATTTTTTTCATATTTCGAGGTCCCGACTCTTTCGAACACTGTGTGCCGTAGCAATGTAAAAACACGTTCAGAAGAACCCAGGTTCATTTGCAAAAAATGATTCTTATGGAGCCCCTGACAATCTCTAAAAATTTGTTAGTTGAATTTCCGAACACCCTATATAATTTTTTAATATCTTTTAGAATAAATTTCTTAATGATTGTATCATAATTCATGAAATATCTATATATCTTTATATTCTGCTTAGTCGAAAGAATCCTTTGTAGAAAGTTTAATGATATTTAGTTGTTCTCAGATAATTCTTATAGAGAATGGATTAAAGCCGATCTATTAGAGCGCTTGCACAGAGATTATCCTGGAGATGTAGGCTGTTTTGCGATATATCTATTTAACTATGTAACGCTGCAGCCAGGTGAAGCCATTTACATTGGACCAAATGTGCCTCATGCGTATCTCTCTGGTGGTAAGTTATTTGTGGATTGAGATTTTTATGTTTATTTAAATATAAACAAAGTAATTGAGCTTTTAATCAAATTTTCAGATTGCATAGAGTGTATGGCGTGTTCAGATAATGTAATACGAGCTGGACTTACACCAAAGCCGAAAGATGTGAGAACTTTAATCGAAGTGCTGCCATTTGAATCGCATTCCGTAGAAAAAGTTCAACCATCCCAGGAAGATGCATTCACTCAAGTTTTTTGTCCGCCAGTTTCAGAATTTGCTGTTGCCAAAATCACTGTGAGTGTGATGTTTGCTATTCAGTGACAGTAAATAACTGTATTTTGTTATATTCGATTATATTTTTATTTCAAATCGCATAGCTACCACCTGGACGATCATCTTACAGTTTAAAACCGAGAAGCTCTGCCAGCATCCTGTTAATAGTGACTGGTAAGGTAAAGATATCTTTTAAAATCTTTTCCCGCGGCTCCGTTTTGTTTATTCCTGCCAATGACGAAGTGGAGATGAAAATTTTGTGCAATTGCCATCCTATGCTGATGTTTCAAGCATTTTCAAACGTTTGAGAATGCAAAATTCAGCTGACAAACATTAACAATGTGAAGTGCAAAATACAGTTAATATTTTAAAGCGATTGCCATGAAATTTTCGGTATGTATAATGATGTAAAGTTTTCTATATAATTATTTACTAATGTACACGAGTTTCTCACGAATACATGAAGAATTATCTTCAGAAGCATAATCGTGAATTGTATATCATTCGGAAACTTTTTAATACAATAATTACATTGTAAGAAATATTATTCGATAAGATTTATTACTAAACGTTATGTATTACATTAAAAAAAATATATCTAACATATATATATACACAAGTCAATCATCCTCCGATTCGTTGCCTTTCTTTGAAGTACTCTCAGCAGGCTTTTCTTCTTCTTTATAATGTCGATACTCCGGTTTCAATTCCCACATATTTCTATGAGGATTTTTCAAGTTATAATTACAAACTTCATTGAGGATTTCTTTTAGATAAACCTGAAATTTATATCGATAAATTTCTACATTTTTGCAACATTTTATTTAATATTTGAAATTTATAAGACAATTACATATTCTAAATTATTTGAACAAATAGAAGATATACTTACAATAGGTTGCCTCGTGATTTTTACAAGGTCTCTTATATTGTAGTACTGATGTTTCTCGAATGCTGCAAATAGCATGTCCAGTACAGCTTCCTTGTCATCTCTCATTTTCTTCCCTTCTGCCTTCTTCTTTTCAGCATACTCAATCTGCAAAATGTTACATGTCGAGGCTCGGTTTTACAATGATAAAAAAAACATTGATAAAAATAACGCTTACATTATGTTTGTGATCAGATACAGGCTTGAAGTTTTGCACAACTCTATCCAACTGTTGGACTTGTCTTTGTGGCACAGAGGCTCTCTTGATACTTTCCAGTTTCAACTTCATATAACAGTTATCAGCTAAAAAAAAATTTCATTTTATAATAGAGCTTGGTTCCTAAGAAAGTACAAGTGTTTATCTATATCTCCATATACATGGTGGCATACCGTATGGTCTACATTCTAATTTCTGTACGATCCTTCCCTCCATATAGAGTTTCTCTGTTTCTGGAACAATCGCGTCTGAACTTGCAGAAGCTGCAAAATTAACGAGTAATTTACAGTATGTATTAAACTTGGAAATTCTATCGCAGAGACTCACGGGAAACATGAGAAAACACTCCTAGCATCTGTCTGGTGACTGTTGTAACATCCAATCTATGTTGTTTTGGTATTTCCCCTTCTCCGGATTCTTTCAAAGCTAAGACAGCCTCCGATAATTTCAGAGACACTTCAGCTTTCTGTCCGGGATTTCTAGAGAAGGCGGTTGAAGACGGAAATTAAATTGACAGATGAACATATTAAAGTATTTGTGAAAATACGAAATTATAGAAGATACTACAAAAGGACATAAATAACAGAGAGGAAATTTTTAATATAAACCATATATATGTAAAAATTCTTTGCATGACTGTTTTCATTTAACAACAATGCAGCTAACAAGATGTGAAACAAATTTTACAACAGAACCGAAGCTCATGCTCGTGAATTAAAGAAAAGATACTTTGATTTTGAGAGAAATACTCCTGTTTCTGATCAAAGACGCACTTAGTGATTTTCAATTTGCCGACTTCTATATTGCCAGGCGCCTTTTCCCACTTGTTAGCTATGTACTTGGGTACTTTGACAAGCCACACACCGCGGCCAGCATTACTCAAATCCAATTCCTTTTCTGTATGCGTGCCACTCGCGGACATATTATTTCTTTAAGGCCTCAGTAAAAAAAAATATCTTCTTCCCTTCTTTTTTAGTAATGCAGTATCATTAGGCTTTTCTGCAAAATGTATGTACATGGATAAATGTAAATTCTGTCTGAGATTAGAGAAGGCTGACCTGAAATAAATTTAAAACTAACCTGAAAACGATCTATAATTGATTTGAAACCGATAAAAAATCTGAAATTATCAGAAATCGGATTAATCCGGAGGGATTAGTTAGAATTACTTAGAATTAGTTTAAAATAACTCGTAACCACCCGAGACTGATCGAAAACTAATCTGAATTCTGAACCTAGAACTGATAGCAGAGAGCGACTACACCACACTACCATAGTATAACCACAGTATCAGTGTTCCCAGCCGTGAACGTTAGCACGGACGGTGCCGCGGCGGTGGGGATGGAGTGGGGATAGTCGGTCTGCGCGCGCACGCTCGCACACAAGCAACACGTCGTAGCCAAGCGTCGAGCGCACACGTTTTTACGACGTGTTGCTTGTGTGCGAGCGTGCGCGCGCAGACCGACTATCCCCACTCCA